TTATGCATCTTGTGTACCCGATGTGATCAATGATCGGCAGTGATCAGCATAACCTGGCACAGAATCCATACGTGCCTGGTCGATACAATGAGTGATCTGTGTAACGGAGAGTGAAAATCATATCTATATTTGGACGTTTCCTCCTGTAGCTAATGAGACATCGGACTTTTAAAGGTTTATAATCTAATAAATTACATACTATGAATGTTAAAATTGAAAGCTCGAAGTCTTATTTTCCTTGGTATATAGCGATAGAACTCATTTTTTACATTCACTAGCGAATATTTGTTAAAAAAAAAAGTAACAGCATTGTGTCATTGTTTTCTCGTGTAACAGTCACGTGCATAAATGGTACAGTACAAAAATTCCCTTCAATTTTTCCAAATTCCACGCGTAACTTGCTAAACATCCTGTGTTATTATTTGATCTTACTCTTATACTAAATAAAGATGGATAAATACGTTCAAAAAAAACAAGGTTTATATTTTTAGAAACGTTTAATAATGTTTATGCGAAAAAAATAAGTCAGAATTCGTTTACTATATTAGTCACACGTATACTAACATAATGTTTTATAAAAGTTGAAAAAACGATGTCCGGCACTAAAAGGAAACGACTTCGTTCCAATAGCGTTGAAGAAGTGGATGCCGTTCTTAAGAAAGAGGCAAAAGTTGGTTAGTTTTTTCTTTACTTATAAATATTATACTGCATTATTCCCTCTTTTTCTTTTTTTTTTTTTTTTTTTTTGGATCAATACCTTGTATATTGTGGTTACAAAAATTTGATTTCTTTTTTAATAGAATCCACTTCAAAAGTTACTTCTAAAGCTGATTCAAAAAATGCCGTTCGTTGGTCCCTGCGTAATTCAAATTCAGTTCTAATTGGCCAATACCTTAAAAAGGGTGATTATTTGGAAAGCCGTGCAAATATTGCGGCATTTGATCTGGTGCGTATAACAAACAATATATTTTTGACAGTAATTTATATAAGCTTATTATATTTTATTTATTTATTTATTTTTTAGGATGAGACATTAATCACAACTAAAGGTATTAATAAATTTCCAAAAGATGCTAATGATTGGAAATGGTTAAAAAATGAAAAAATTCCAGAAAGACTAGCAAAACTTTATGAAGAAGGGTACATATAAATTTTTATTGGTTTTAATAGCGGCTGATGTTTAAATTGGCTGATGCTAAATTTGTAATTTTTATATGAAATTTGGAATTTTTTTAAAGAGTATAAGTGGGTTTATATTTTTAAATTGAGCCTCTAAATTTCAGCATCGACCAATTTCAACTTCAGCCGCGACAATAATTATTTATTTTAATTCATTTTATTCAATAAATTTAGGTATAAAATTATTATTATAAGTAATCAAGCTGGGTTAAGTTCTGGAAAAACAAATAGTGATAAAAAAAGATCTGAATTTAAAAATAAGATTGGGCAAATCGCAGATAGTGTGAGTAAAATTTTTCTTTATTATATTGTTTATTATACTTATACGATTCTTTAAATTTTAATTAATTTTCTTCTTTTCTTTTTAAGTTGAACGTATCATTTGACATTTTTGCTGCATTGGGTTACGATAAATATCGAAAACCTAGGATTGGAATTTGGAATTATTTTATTGAAAACATGAATGCTGATGTTACTATTGGTGAGATAAATTGCTTATGTTTGTAATATTTATTGTCATTTTATTGTCATTTTATATTTTATTAATTCTTAAAAAAAAAAAAAAATTAGATAAGGAAATTAGCTTTTATGTTGGTGATGCAGCTGGTCGCATTAAAGATTGGAAACTTGGTGCACCTAGTGATTGGGCTGATACTGACCGGTAATTCGATTGTCTACATAGATTTTTTGGTTTTTATAAAAATTGAATTACTTAAGCGCTATTTTTCTTTTTGATCAGTAAATTTGCGGAAAATATTGGAATTAATTTTTTTACACCTGAAGAATTTTTTGATAATGTTGAAGTTGCTCCCTTTTCATACAGTGGCTTTAATCCAAAAACGCTTTCACGAGATGGTTTGTTATGATTTTTATGATAATTTTGAAATATTATTGAATTTATTTCATTAAAATTTATCAAAAAATCCGCATTTTTTTAGTTGCATTATTCACACCATCGTCACAACTTGCTTTGCCGGCTGGTCAATGTGAAATGGTGATACTTGTTGGATATCCAGCTAGTGGAAAAACAACATTCGCTAGAAAATGGTTGGCGAAATATGGTTATATGCATGTGAATCTGGTATAGTAATGGCACAATGACTATCGTGTTGATATAGATAAGTGTTTCACCCATGTTAATAATATTAATAATATTATAGGATACAATGAAATCAAAACAAAAATGTATCCAGTCTTGTGAATTTGCTTTTAAGCACAATAAGTCAGTTGTGATAGATAGCACAAATCCCAGCATACAAAGTAGAAAACTATATATTGACATCGCAAAAAAACACAAGGTTCCAGTTCGATGTTTTTGGTTCAAAGCATCAGAAGCATTAGCAAGGCATAATAATATGTATAGGCATGTTAATTCAGATATTGGGGTAAGATGAACATATAACCATTTTTTATAAATCATTTGCTTATAACTAAACCTAATATTAATTATTTTGGGTTTATAGACTCAACCAATACCAGATATAGCATATAACGTATACAAATCCAAATTCTCTGAACCAAAATTAGAAGAAGGATTTCAAGAAATAAAACATATTAACTTCGTATTTGAAGGAAGTGATATTGATAGAAAAAGTTTTAATTTATGGTATTTATAGATGCCGTAATAAACGTTAGCTATATTTTTTTCTCTTGTTTATTCAGGCGGGTCTTAATTCTTATTGTGGTAAACAGACAAATTACATATATTTGTGTATAAAGCATTATTTTTTATAATATGCATATATTGTACTAAGTAACTTTGATTGATCGGTCAGTCAATTTTCTAACCTGTTGTATGTAGATACTATGTAGATATATAAATTTAAAGTTACGTTTATCACATTATCGAGACTAATAAAAAGTCTTCTTATATAAAAAATATGTTTATATAAAAAGTAATTTTATATGTTTAATAGTATTTGTTTAACAATAAAAATATTTATAAAGATATAGTAAGATGTTTATATAAAAGTGTGCCTGTATTAGCTAATCAAATTAGTTAATATAATTTAACAAAATTTTTTTAAACAAATTACTATTTAATAAATCAAAAACTAGCTATATACAGTATTAATTAGCAATTTGAGGGATCTCCTTTAGTATAGGTGGCCAATATAGAAATATTATAAGATTATAATATAAAAAAACTCTAACCCTAACCCTAG